CTTTGCCTCTGGTTTTTGTATTCTTACAAAGCATTGCTCTTAAACTCTGAAACATCTTTCCAGTCTTAAGGTCTAGAAACATTTTTGAAACAGAGTTTAAATTCTAGTGTGTGAAAATAGATCAAGGGAAGGTGTAAAAGACACATCTATTGCTTGTGAAAACATGATGCAGCCTGCAAACTTGCAAGCCTCCCAGTGCACTTCTCTCCATCAAGAACCAATGTGCTCACTTTATTATATTCTATTTTCATACATTTTAAAACACAGGGTGTCTCTTCAACAGATTCTATTTGAAGCAAACAAAATATAGATACCACTGCTAAACTAAATTAAGAATTAAAATCACTGTGGGATATTACCAAGAGTGGATTAGACAGCTGTTTGCATTGGTCTTGTGAAGTGCAGGCTCTCTTCATGACCTTCTCCATAGCCACACTCCCAAGCAAAGTCCACAAATTCAGGCTCCGTTTTGATTGGAGCAAACCAGTTCCAGGCATCTTCATCTCTGCTAGGAACAGACCTTTGCAAAGCTAAAGGGTTTTTAATTGCATGTGCAAACCCAATATCCAACAGGGAACAAAATGATACATTCCCTGAAAAATGATATATTCCCTGCTCATCAAAGAGTGCCTGTGCTGTGAACAAGCCCTGGCTCAGCCATGCCACTACTGGCTGTTTCAGTCTGCCCCTCTCCCAGGATGTACCAAATTTAAGTGACCATTGGCAGTCATTCAGGTGAATCCTGCAGTTTGCCCATCTGTCCTACTGTACAGAAAACAGGCCTTGATCTGATAAGCTGTCAGTTCCCTACTGGAAGGTATCTAGTTAGAAGGCTGTAAGGGGTAAAAATCAGTAATTCCAGAGCGATAGGCATTTCCCTTTTATTTTTAGATGATGCCCACATGTCTTGTAGCAGCCGGGTATCCTCTCAGTCTGATGAGTCATCTCGCCTATGTGAGAGAAAAGGAGGGGGTGCCCCCTCTTTTGAAATGGTGCTTGGGAGCTTCATTTTTTTAAATAAATGGTTAGTTATGAAAACTAAACAAATCTTTTAAACTGCTTAATCACTGCAGTCCTAGTTTTAACATATGAACTTCCAGATCATGTGGGATGACAGCTCTCATCATCCTTCACTGGCCATGGCTCATGGGAGTTTCAGTCCAACAGCTCTTGGAGGCCACACATGCGCTGCCCCTGCTTAAGGGGGATCAGACCACTTGGGACCCCACTCCAGCTGTCTTTCCAACATATTTCCAGACTCCTGGAAATTGGGCTTTTCATGGGTGTAGCACTGAAATTCCACCTGGTGTTTTGGTCACTGATCTCTGTTTACAGACTGAGAGAGGCCAGCTTTCAGGAGAGTCGATCCTTTACAAGCCTGTGCCTTTCTATTCAGAATGATGTCTCATCTGGTTCAATAGGACTTACTTTCGAGTGTTCAACAAAGGTATTGCGCTTCTGTCAACCTAAAAGTAAAATTCTATTTCAGAAAAATTCTCAGATGGAGGACATATTCCAGTAGAGAGTGGGTCTAAAGCCAAAGGGAAGGCGAAATGCCAAAAATAACAGCATATTTTAGCTTAGAGCTGTTACTGCTAGTAACAGGAGAAGCTTTGGAGAGAGATTTTTAGAATGGGTGAGAAACTATACAAAAACCAAATGACTGGTGGTTGAGGAGGGAAGGAGGCGGAAATAGAGGAAGGGTTCGTGGCCTTTGGGAGACTACTTGAAATGGATGGATTCAGGATTGATGCTTCTGTTTCTGAAGAATACTAGTAATCATTGTTGCCCTGCACTTGGCAAACATACACTTAGGCTGAAATTTTGAATCTTGCCATTGCTACTGACTAAACTATATTTTCTGAATCAATACATTTCCCAAGTATATTAAATCAGCTTAAAATGAATTCTTGGTTCATGAGGTAGAAAGAATAGTTTTCTTAAGGATTTGTAGAATAGTGATTTCTAAGAATGTTACCTGTATCGTTAGGGACTGATTGACTGGTGTATTCTTCTGGAATCCCTGAAAGAATGCTAGCCAGCAACTGGTTTTTGGTCCACCTGAAATGCTGTGTTGTAACCTTGCTGTGCTAATATACAATGCCAGGAAGACCAACCTGGCCCTACCCACAAGCCAGAGAAGGAGGGGCTGAAAGGCCAGTTCTGTAAGAGGAATAACCCTGCTACCGATTCCAGATCTTCAGGGGCAGCAGAGAAGAAGGGGAGGCTGCTCTTAGGTCAGAGGGTGAAGGACCACTGGGACGCCACACCGAAGCAAGGGCAGCCTGTCTTCAGCTGTTAGGAATGACTTATCAGCACTCAGCACCTGCAGTTATGAGAACAATTAATTAATTCCATGTATATGAAATACCCACTCAGTAGGGAAGTCCATGGAGTGATCTTGGGCCAGCAACTCTTTCTATCTAATCAAAAGTCACAGAATAGTTGTGAGCACCAAACTGTAGTGAATAAACTGAAATACATTGTCGGTTAATGACAGCTCACCTCATTATTTTGGCATTGTCAAAGTGATCTCTCTCCCTTGGCTTTTTGCCCCCTCTCCCCTTCCTTTATGTACCTTGCCATTTAGTTTGTTGGCCTCAGGGCAAGGCCTTTTTCACCCTCAATTATATACAGAGCCTGCCCCCCCCCCCCAAACATTGCACATTGCACTTTAATTGCTGTGAGCCACTTTGGGAGACAGTTTTTTCCTTCTGGGAAGCAGGATAAAAACTTATAATTGATTAATAAATTAAAAGGTCTTTTCTTCCTTTACTATGTACATATGATAATCCTGACCTATCTTATCTTTTCCTCTCAGAATAGGAGAAAATGGAAATGGCTAATTTAGAGATTAAAATTGTCTTTTTTCAGAACATTTTGCTAAAGCTTAAAGCATGAACTGTGTCATGGGAGTCTGGGCAAAGCCCCACTGATTGCAGAATCCGACATGTGTGTCTTCAGAGGCCAGACAAGCCATTATTATGTTCAATGAGACTTAGAAAAGTGACCAGTGGTAGAATTCTTGCTTTGCATGTAGAACGTCCCAAGTTTCATCCGTAGCATCACCAGTGGCTGGGGCATGCTGGGGATTGTAGGCACTTTGCCTGCCTGAATTTGCATAGGATTGCACCTTAAATGGATCAGCCAGCATCAATGTGAAAGACCACTGCTCAACTGGCAACATCAAGTAGACTTTTGGGGTTGGTGGGCATGTCTGGAATTTTGAAGGTGTCCTGGGCAAAAATAGGCTACTATGGTGGGCATAGTTGGTCATAAAATTCTCCTTTCCCAGAAAGCAAACTGGTGAGATCAGAAGAAAAGTAAGGAGTTAGGTACCAAGAACCAAAATATAGGCAAAGTTGGGGTCTAAGTCCAAACTACAAACTTCCATCACTATATTTATTTGGATTCAAGAATGAATATAGTGATAAAACACAGCACAACATTTGACCATGCTGATTTCTCAGCTTTTAACATTTAAAAACAAGATCTTTAAAAATACAATAAAAGTCAGGAAGATTCTGCATTGGAAACCCTAGATAATACTGGGCTGGATGAAATAAGAAATGGAAGACTTATTTTAATGGAATTAAAATCAGGAAGACATTGTGGTGGAAAACGTAGATAATATTGGGCTAGACGACTTGTGCAGAACTGCAGCCTTGAGACCAGACTCTCCCCAGCAGCGGCCTTTGTGAAGGTCAGTGGAGAAAGGCAGCATCCGTCATTTGCTTTCTCAGCATTCCATCCCTAGGCTGGAAAACTGTCTTTGGTGACCTGGAAACCCCACCTGGTAGTCCCAGTTGGCAGAGCTCATGTGGTCCATTTAGCTGGACTGGAACTTTGTTTTGAAGCCCTCATGGGGCTGATTGGTATGTCAGTTCTGCACACAGGCATCAACATATAAACAAACCTGCAGCATAGTTGGGAGAGAAGTCACCACACAATAAGCACTGTGTTGACTCTTATTCAGTGTTAGCCAGACTTAAGTTCCACTTTTTCAAATGAATAAATTCTGAAAAAGACTAACAGATACAACCCAGTGTAAATGACTTTTGCATTTCAAGGTGTTATGTCAATTATGTTGTAGTAGGGAGCAGAAAGAGAGAACCTTTCTATATAGTCACCTTCCCCAACCTCCAAGCCTTTTAGACAGCAGCTCCCAGCGTTTCTGACAGCTGACCAGCTGGCTGGGGCTGATGGGAACTGGACTCCACACTATTTGGAAGACTCCAAGTCGCAGGGTCCTGCTACGCCAGGCAACAAAAGGATCGTAACCATGGCTTCGCACTTTCTGGGACTAACCTCTTCCCCGAAAGGCTACTCCCGGGGCCACGCGAGGCTCCGCCCCCGCCCCAGGGACAACGCTCCCCGAAGCCTGCGGAGGTCTGAGGAGGAGGGAAAGGGAACACGTGTCCGCCCCTTGCGGCGGGCGCCACCTCTCGGCGCTTGGCGGGCGCCTCCTCTCCCTTGACCCGCTTGCTGGGCGCATGTGCGCTGCGCTCCTCCCTCCCTCCCTCCCTCCCTCCCTCCGGAGGCTGCCTGGGCGAAGCTTCCTTCCCTTCCCTGCTTCCTTCCCTTCCTTTCCCTGCTGCTGCTCGCGCTCTCCAGCGCACGCGCTTTCCGCCGCGGGCGCGAGCTTCGGCCAGGCGGCAGGCAAGGAAGGAGGCGAGCGGGAGAGCGGGAGCAAAGCGGCGGCGGCGGCGGCGGCGGCAGCCAAGATGGAGGCGCGGCTGGAGCTGCAGCGAGCGAGCCGGTGCGTCTTCTGAGGCTCCGCGCCGGGCGCCTTCCCTCCTGCCCCGTGTGCCCCATGGCCTGGCCTCTCGTCGCCCCCCCCTTGGGCTTACCCTCGGCCGGCGCAGCCACCGGGGCCGCGGGGCTCCCGGGGCCCGCCGTCCTCGCCCAGTGAAGAGAAGGTGCCGGTGCCGCCGCCCGCGCCGGGGCGCCCGTCTCCGTGTGTCTTGGCCGGGGCCCCGTGCTCGGAGCCGCCCGGCAGGATGCTCCCGTCGCAGGAGGCCTCCAAGCTGTACCATGACAACTATATGCGGAACTCGCGGGCCATCGGCGTGCTCTGGGCCATCTTCACCATCTGCTTCGCCATCATCAACGTGGTGGTCTTCATCCAGCCCTACTGGATCGGTGACAGCGTCAGCACGCCCAAGCCGGGCTACTTCGGCCTCTTCCACTACTGCGTGGGCAACGAGGGCAACAACCGGGAGCTCACCTGCCACGGCTCCTTTGCCGACTTCCGCAGCATCCCCTCGGGCGCCTTCAAGGCGGCCTCCTTCTTCGTGCTGCTCTCCATGGTGCTGATCCTGGGCTGCATCACTTGCTTTGCCCTCTTCTTCTTTTGTAACACGGCCACAGTCTACAAGATCTGTGCCTGGATGCAGCTACTGGCAGGTAGGAAAACCGAAGTGATCCTCCTCCCCAGAGTCCCATCTCCAGAAAACCAAATATTCCCTTCACACCCCCAGAGCAGCCACAGGGAGGAAAGGTTACACAGGAAAGTACGGGATTGCTTCCCTTGGGTTACAGAACGGTTGCAAAGGAGCAAGAGGGATGGGGATGCATGGCCAGAAGTTTATATGGATTGGGGGTTTTGCTAATGGGAGGAGATCCTGGCTAAAAAGAACATTCAGCTATATGGGCCAAGGAAAAAGGGAAGGCAATCATTTACATGAAGTGGATTAAACTATTTTGGAGGTTTTGATCAGTGCATTTTCATATTGGGGTACCATATTTTCTGGAGCAAGAGGAGGCCTAAGAGTGGAAGCAGTTTCAAAAGCTCCTCTGGACAGGAGCCATATACATGGTGTGTGTCTGTGGGTACCAAATATGCAAAATTTAATGAGACTTCTTAAGGTAACAAGCACAGGGAACTACTCACTGAATTAGATCCTCTAGGTGTAAATAGACTCCTTCTCTGAAAATACAGACTAACAGCTCAGGTTTGGCCTAGTGTTAATGGTAAGTATTAAAGTTGCTTGACTGAATTATAGGATGTCTGGGCCTCTTCTGGGGCACCAGGGATATGTGCAGACACACCACACACACAGCATGAGGCCGGATAGCATTTGCTTGTTGGTGCTCCTCCAAAGGTGGGCTAAGTGAACTCAAGTACAATTTAATCTGGGGTTGGATTCAGGGCAGGGACATGCCAGTGCTCCAGGGCTCAGATGAATTACTGGGAACTGTCTTTGGCTTAAATAGAAAATTCCTTCAACTTTAATTTTAAATGCTTTCAAGATTTAATGATTTAAAATGAGCTCAGAGACCAAATCCTCACTGCAAGGAGCCAGACACATAATCCCTGGGACTGGCCAAATGTAGTACTGCCGCTGTGTCTCTGTCCATGGTGCTGAAGGGGCTAAATTGAACAGAGAATGCAGTGGAAAACGTTGGATGGTTGGAAAGAACACACGAGAAAGCAACGCCAGGATCATAACAAACAAAAAACCATGGACCCGCGTTTCCTGAGCAGATAGGAAAGACCTAGAGTCAGGTGTAAAAATGTATGTAGTGTCTGATAATGGTGACACATGCAGATTTCTGTCCAAAACTAAGAGGGATTATAGCAGGTGTAGAACGAAAATGGAGACAAGAAAGGTCTCTTCCACTCAGAATGAAGGTGGGACAGTTGTCCCTTCATTATACAAGCAGCTTCAAGACTAAGCTCTGGGCTCAGACCCAGCTGCTGGCCCAGCAGAAGGAAGGAAGACCTGAATCTCAAATGAGCCAAGTTGCCTAGCTCAGCACTGAGGGAAAAGGTGTTAAGTCAGTGTGTGATTAGTAGAAAGGAGTCTGTCTAAAAAGAGGCTGTGGGCTTGTCAACACATCTTAATTGGGGTCAACAATTAGGGCTTTGCGAAAACCAGAAATTGGACAATGGTGGCCAGCGTTTGCCTCCTTGAGATGGGCTACAGGATGGCAGTCCTGCACAAGGAGCTGAAGTAGTTGAGGACAAGTACAATGCAGAATCAGAGAAGAAGCTGCAACCACAAGTATCTCAGAAGTTAAGTGCTGCTGCCTGAGAGACCCATATATCTGTGCACGGCTCTGCTTGGAGAATGCATCAGTGGAGAAGCACTTGATAAACTGTCTTGCTTTCTGTGCCAAATGTGGGAAGAATGTTTGATGATATAGCTTTAAAAAGTTAATAGAACAACTTGATTTCTTTTGTGAACAGTGGGGTGATCTGAGGCTCTTGATCAATTTTTTTTTGTCTGTACTTCTAAGTGAACTTGGAGTGAACTTGGTTACAGCTTCCTACACCAGAAACCCCACAATGCAGCCTCCTTTTACCCTTCTTAGGCAGTATCATCTGATGTGATGAGATACTTAGGATGGCAATGAGACTGGAGGCCCTGTAAGCTCTACGAAGAAAGGTTGCCTGGACAGGTGCTTTCTATATGGCAATGGAGGTGATGTGATTTTTTCTTTTAGCATATATTTTCGAAAACGCGGATCAAACTTTTCTGTCTTTCTTGCTCCCAACAGTCCTAGGGGCAATTCCAAGAGAAACCTGAAACCTGTTAGAGAAAAGGCAATTGAACCTCTTTCATCCCAAGCCTCAAATGTCCATTTTGGAGAAAGGGGGGGGGTTATATTCCACCAGACGGTGGGGGCAATGACAAATCAGGTAGAACCAAAAGGAAAGGCAGCAGGGCCAAAATATAAAAATATAAATGCATTTTACCTTAAAGTTGTTATGGCAAATAACTGTGCTTTAGGAGAGGTATTTTAGTATGGGGGGAATTGTAAAGAGGCCAGGCAACCACCAAATGATTGGTGGTCAGAGGAAATGCAAGGGGCTAAGAGTGTGTTCTTTTGGGAAACTATGGAGAGTGGAATTGGGATGCCAAGAGGGCTGGATTTGGCTCCTTGGCCTGAGATTTACATCTCTGTGCTAGAGCTTTATTTGAATGTCTGCAGAGCCATTCTCCTCCATTCCGTCTCAACACTGTAATCACACACACATCATGACTTCAACAACAAGCCATACTTCATTTGCTTCCTCCCCCACCCCACTTTTTCATAACATCTTGCCTGGTGAAGGACTCTGGGGAACTCAAAAACTTGCACATTTTTATTGAATACTGAATAGGTCCAATAAAGGTATTACACTAATGGAGATTTTGTAATTTTTCTAATAGCCAGTACAGCTGCCTTTTCTTTCTGTTGTGCTGTTCTTGGTGGGCAAGAAGTAGTCATGGCTAGAATTAGAAAAGCTTCCAGATTAGAAATTTTGCCTAGAAACAACTCTCAGCATGGCAGAGAACATCTCCCCTCTTTGTGGGTTCTTGCCCAATTATTCCAGTAGACTTTATGTACAAGTACCAGAGCAACACTGTCCTCCCAAGCCACTGTAGTGCAGAGTTCAGGATAAAACACAGTAGTGGAAATTACTCAGTTTAGCTGGCAAAGAATTAGCAGAGCAGGGAAAGGGGGGAAAGGCTAAAACTTTGGATCAGCGAATGACTGAAAAAGCATGGCATTCCAGAAGTGGAATTGTCAGCTGATAAGTACCCTTCTTAGCCCATTAACTGTCTTATTGTAACTAATTACGAGATTAATGAGCCAGCAACAGTTAATAGAAATGTTTTGCCATGGAGGTGATGTTTTCAGAATATTCACCAAAGGTAGCCATTTATCTTGGCTAAATAGCACAACTGTTTATCTATCTAGATAGAGAATATGTGCATTACCTGAACTGGGAGAAGCGCACACCGACTGTTTGCACTTGAGGCCACTGGCACCAAAAAGTAATTTCACAGAGCTCTGTTTTATTTATGATAAATTACTCAACTAAACATGCCAATGTAGCTGATTTATCAGTTAATAATCCAGCTCATCAGAAGAGCGACACTGCCTGAACATTTGTGGGGAATGGGGATTTTGAATCTATGAATACTTTTCAGTATATGCATAAATGAAACTCAGGCTGGGCAATTTGACCATGGAGGAGAGAGCATGAAGCAGCCTTGGAACACACGGGGTCAAAACTGGAATGAGCAAATTGAAGGACAGTCGAGACAAAATATTCACCCATTGCATCTTCTGTACCTGACATTCACACTCCACTCTGAGGCAACACAAATATTATCCTGCAGATGAAAATGCAGGAAATTTGGGTTATTTTGCATAAATGAAGTTGCTCGATCTAAATTAGGAAATTGGCCTCCCAGATACTAGTTGTTCATTGAAGATGTGGATTATTGTTATTCTGAGATCAGTATTTGAAATACTACAAAATATAGAATCTTTTCCCCCTTGTGTCATGTGAAAAGGAATATTTGGGAAAAGGAGAAATAGCAGACAGATGGATGAACTGAGGCTATACTTGCTGGGCAGTTAGCTGGTTCAGCTGTACCAACACAGAGGAACTAGTTCATGCACAGCCTTAAATAATCCATGATGATTTGTGGCGTGTTCATGCCCTTTCTATAACCCAATCACTGCTTGTAGGTTGTTGTGTCATCTGAGCCTGGGAAGGGTTAACAGAAGACCCCACCACCGTAAAACTCGCATGAATTCTCCAGACCAACAAGCCAACTTCGCTGGGTTCAGAGGACACAACAAGCTACAAGCAAGGGCTGGGTTACTTAAATGGTGTGCGTGGCTACCTGGCTCCTGCTGCAGGGCACCGTGGCTTAAGCCACTGTGGTGGCAAATGATCATGCGGACTTGTCCAGAGTGTGATTGCTGACCCTGACAGCTGGTAGTGTATGTCATGAAAGAGCAGCAAACCATTAGTTATTTAAATTATTACTATTGTTGCATTTCTGCTGCTGGGGAAGAGTATTTGTGGGATTTTGTTAACCTCAAATCCAATGTGACCAGTCATGAGTACTGTGGTTCTTGATTTGGGAATGGGGTCATTTGCTGCCCTCCCTCAAGCAGCAAAATGTCCTAGGCCATTCCTGACTTCTAGCTAATCAGTTCAGAGAAAACTCTATCTATTCCTCCTGTTCAGATGCCTCAAGAGACCTAGAAACATTCTCCCTTTAAAGAAAAGAAAACAGCTGTTCTCAGGGATCCAGGATTTACACTAAATTACTGACATAGTGCAAATAGAAGCGTGGAAGAAGATTACACCAGCCAGTTAGATGCAAACCGGAGGTTTCAAGTGGGGCTTCCATCATTACTTGCCATTAGTTATGCTGGCTAGGGTTGATGGGAATTGTAGGCCAAAACATCTGGAAGACCACAGGTGCCCATCTTTGTTTTAGGCTCCCCAGCTGGAGGATTCTGAGGCTTCTTTACTGCACTGCTTATTTATTATCTTTGTGTTCAGCTTTTTAGCCAGGATTGACTCCCGAAGTAGCTTACAATCAAAAGCCAACATGTTAATGAGCAGTCAGGTGTGCGTGCGCATGATGGGGAGAGGGAAAGGAAGGGAG